CTTTCCTCTATTTCCCTTGACTCTCCTCCTGTCCCACTATCATGCTCAGTCCCCACCAGGATTTCAGCACTTCCTCTTTGTTACATTCCCCTTGATCATACCCTACCAGGTCTCCCACACCTACATTTATACTTTTTATATAAAAGTCATAGCACTACTTTAATAGTCCTGTACTCTTCATGATTGTAAGCTCTCTGTGTCTCCGTCTCTCTTCCTCTCTGTCTCTCACTCTCTCTAAACACATACACACATACTCCCACACTGCTAGGTGACTGAGTTTATGGAATAAAATTGTAAATTTCCCCCTTTTTTCAGAACACAACCTCTCTAGGCAAAATGTCCCATGGATAAAACTTACTCTGATAAAGCAAGACCTGTCTTAGAATGTCAAGCAGTTCTTAAATTCAAAACAAAGCGAACCCGCCATTTGTACAGATTGGGAAGCTAATCCTTTACTTTTAAATCGGGCTGTTCTTGCGTGACTATTCCTCTATAATTATGGCTTAATTGTGCTCACTAGCCTCTTAAATATACCACATTTCAACTCATTCACTCACTTACTCAATATTCCATTCATCAGTAATGTGTTGTTCAACATAACTAATAATGTTTTAATAATCTCCACTGCAGATGTATAACTCTTACTAACTTGGCTTATTTCAGAAATGTGAACTGTCAATTTAGAATCGTTTGCACTTTTTTTGTTGTTGTTTGAACTTTTCAGACTGTGTAGTGTATGTATCAAATAATAATTAAAACCCTTTAATATTCATATGATAAACATTAAATTATCATATAAAACATATATAATATATAAATATATAATATATGAAATATATATTATATATAAAATATATTATATAAATATATAAATAATATAAAATTATTTCTTCCATACACCTATAATGTACATATCAGGCACTGAATTGCTTTACAATTAACTCATTTTTAAGGAAAATCCATTGTTTAATATATTAAAAGCTATAGTATAACAAATAATACTAACAATAACAGATTACTGTGTCTTCCAAACTGTTTTCTCTATTTCAAAAACAACCCTACAAAGGAGGTGTTATTATCTATATTCTGACAAGTACACATGGAAGATCTGAATGTTCTAAACCCAAGATCACAGTTTGAGTGGTATCTCTGATTCCAAACTTGCAGTATTTTCAGTAAGATTTATTCTAAGTAACAAGAAGCCATGGTGGTGTAGTGGTTTATGTGTTGGGCTAACTGCAAAGTTAACAGTGCAAATCTACCAACTGTTCTGGGAGAAAGATGAGGTTTTCAGCTCCTACACAGATTTAAAGTCTTGGAAAAACAAAGGGCAATTCTACTTTGCCCCATAGGATTGCTATTTGTCTAAAGTGATCTGATGGCAGTGTGGTTTTGGTTAACCACTTCAGAAATAGAAACAAAACTACTCAAAACTCAAAAACACCATTGCCACTGAGATGGTGCAGCAGTCGGCTTCCATAAAGACTGCGGCCTTGGAAACCCTGTGCTGCAGTTTCACTCCGCTCA